TGGAGATGATATTTCAAACATATATACTTACATTCTGATTTATAAGAAGAATAGCAATATCTTTTCTATTCACAAATTCACGAAACTTGTCTTCAATTTCACTGACAGACGTTTCTGTAAAAATGACATGAAAATGAAAAAAGTACAAAGTGAAAATATAAAATGCACTATGTAAGTAATTATTAGAACACTTATGGATTTATCGGCAGCCTCTCTCTCTCTCTCTTATAGCTTTCTAGATTCCCTAYAATAAGGCTTATGTGAATGCACCATTCTGATTTAATAGTCCAGCAAAATTTGTGAGCAGCCACTGAGAGGCCGAGTTTGCGCTCTTCGAGAGTCAAATTCATCTTGTTTCTCTTCTGTGTATTTTCATGAAAAACTTGAACAATAATTTCTGCTGGACGAAATAAGTAAAACTGTCTGCTTCTTCGATATAATCTATTATCATGCATTTGGAAATATAACTAAATAGTGTAACTATTGATTKGCATTCAATACCTTTGCCAACGACAAAGAAATTTTTTTGTCTTTTGGCATTGATCTCTCCAATTCCCCCCAAAAGAAAACCAGTACACGTATCCTAAAAMACACAAAAAATATCTTAAGTGAAGTAGTTATATATCAAAAACAGAAAGAACTTAAATGTTCGCTTACTTCATCCCCGATGACGGCAATAAGGCGACCTTTTGCTCCTGCACTCACTGCTGACATACCCGCCATTTTGGATTCTTGTATCACAAGACWGTCAACACAGGGATACCATAAAAACAGCCATGAGCTGTAGTAACATTTCAGAATGAGCATGATGTATCTACACGAGCTACACTTACTGAATTAACAGATTACAATTTTCGTTTTTGTTGTTGTTTTTAGCACTAAAAGAAAGAGTTGGATAGCCACGAAAATCAATCGGCCCCCGTCCATCTATGTTTTCATCGGAATATTCTCCTTTAAAACGAAATTTATATTTATAATTTTTTTTGCAGGGGTCGTTGCATGGGTCCGGTTAGTCCTTGACTGACGCATTCTTTGAAGGATAACCCTTATCCATGTTATCAAGAAAAAAAGAAAGAAAAACCTAGTGAACTTAGTGAAAATAAAAAAAATACTAATAAAATAAGAAATATATACATATTATATAATAATAATAATAAACACTCTCATAGTTGTATGTTGCTTGCTTAATTACTTTCTAGGTGCTGTACTTATACCATAGTKAGTGCTTATCGGGAAGGGGTTCATACCCGACAGCCCGAAAATTGCGTACAAACACTAAAACTGTGTAACATAAATACCACTAAATACTGCTAAATTATGCTAATTCTACTGTTTTCTATTGTTTAATTAACACTCTTTTGTAGTAAATAGTGGAAAGTGTTGCGCACATTTATGTTTGTACTCTAGTAATGGTCGGGCTACCACTGTAAAATGTAGGGCTGAACGTTCATTTCGATGCTTGTTAAAAGTGTCTGCTATGGCCATATATACTAGTATKTCTCAACTGGATTTTTATTGCTTCATTCTGAAAAGATATTCTACAATACAAACATAAATGCGCAAAATTTAAATATCTAAAAATAATGAGGGTTATGACAAAAAATAATGTTCTGCTAACTCTAAGAAAACCGTTGGGGAATAGAAGAAAATATATGATATTACATGGGCGTGAGAAGATGGTTTTTATCTTCGAGTGCTGAAAAGATATCTCACGAGTGAGAGATTTCAAGAATAACTCGACAAGTTTACTTGTGRTAGTGCAACTTTAGCGGTCAATTTATGAAATGGAGAAATATAAGTATTTATCATATAATTATCAATGAAATACCTACATTTCTCCATTTCGTAAAATTCAATATTTTCACTAGTGAAAATAACACATTCGAAAGATTTTACGACATAATTTGCTTTCACATGTAAACATATATGATAAACAGAATATTACATGGTCGCTTGAAGATACGAATCTTACTGATCTTCTCGTGTTGGGAAAATCTCTCACTCCGATCCGGCGCTACGCTCACTCGTGAGAGATCTTTTCAACACTCGAAGATAAAATCCGTATCTATCTCTGCGCGCCAATGTAATATCCTCTATTTCATGATCATAGATAGATAAATGGAAAAGTGTGGGGATATGACAAACACGGCTGGTCACACACACACACATGTACACACCGCACACAAAGGGATAAAAAACTTAACTCATTCTGTTTATTATTCTTTAGCAAAACATCATTTAAAAATGTAGAAATTGAAAGGTTTTAAAACTGACCCGTAAGAGCAAGAAACCGTGAAAATTCAGCTGGCTCTTGTAAACTTTTTCAATCTTTTTTATAGGTCATTTTCAAAACCTTTCAAATTGATCAAATTCTAATGTCCACGACTGACCTCCCACACACAGTATCGTAGATGTTAATTTATCAGCWGGATTTTGCCACGAACGGCAAATTTTTATACCGCGTCAGTGATTATTTTTTATTTAGGGGGTTAGGGTTTTGAGATGGCTGAGAATACTGTTCTCAAGGTATTTTATTTTACAGTGTAAATTTAACATTCACATAATGATTCGAGAAATATATAAAATGAAAAGATGGAGGTTACTGAGGTCACCTCACATTAGTTTTAGAAACACAAAATCTTCAAAAAACAATGTGACAATAAATTTAGAAGAGGAAATATTGAATGTTCATTTTGGTGCGCGGTAAAAGTATAAAATGTGTTCTAGCCTATAATGAATCTAGAAGGGATGAATGTTTGAACGGCAATGGACTGAAGCTCACACTAAGCAGCACCAATGCAAGAATCGAGTGGTTTGGASCTAGGATTCATTTTTAGGGTTTTTTAGCGTGTAATACCGGCATAAACTGTGTCACCGCGAATATATGAAGGGATCGATCGCAAGCAGGCAAGAGTTCCGCAGTAATGCGAAGGATGTTTGAACCCTTGAACCGATAGGATCGAGAGTTTGAACCGACCTAGGATTAGGAATCATTTTGGAAGGAAATACCCTTCGGGGAATTAAAACCTCGATGCTGATGGACTGATGTACAGTTCTTCTTATCCGGTCTAGACATAGTGAGGTGTCTCAAACCCCGCCGGTCATGTCGTTCCAAGTCGTAACTGCATGAAATGTTTCTTGCATAGTTTGATCTCATAGTTGACCGATATGGCTCTTTGGAGCAGCTGCAGAACAGTAAAGAAAAATTCAGATAAAAATACTAATACATTCAAAAACAATACAGGTTCCACTTCTCTACAATGGCAATGCCAACATAAATGAAATTTGCTGAAACAGGTGGTAGCCTAAATGAACCTGCCACGTTGAAATTATGAATTAGTATATGCCAGCTTCTAACATTTAATCCTACGGAGTTAAAATAGGAAACTTTTGCTAAAACAGTGATAAAAAAGCATGGAAAATACACTTCTATATCACTACAATGAGGATATCAAATGGGCGCGGTGGAGATAGATTATTTATCGTTTAAATACGAGAATCTTCAAGCGATATGTTATATTTTTTTAATACCAGTACAATCCATGAAAGAAAATTGTCTTAAAATAACTATATAAAGGTACCGCGACGCAAYGGATTCTCGAAAGTGAAGATACTGAGTTCACTCGGACGACGAATAGTATGATTAGAGAATCTTTATATACAAGACAGAATTAATGATAATATTATTCAAATATCCGCTGACTTTAAAAAATGGTTGACATGAGTCACTTTATTTTGTCTGTCTTTTTGATATGAATTTTTCTAGCCATAGTAAACGACATGTAGCTACAAGTAAATTTACTAAGTTTTTTAAGAGCTGCACTGAAATGTTTTACTCGTTTGACTGTAACATAGTAAGATTTCTAGCCTTTCTTCTATCGAATCACGCGCCATTCTACCGTCCGCGCGAACTGGTTGTTCAGTTCCCGGATTTAAATATGACCACTTTATCAGGGCCAAAAAATCAAATGATAACCCCTTAAGTGAAACAAAACGTGATAGTGTTCACGAAAAATGGCAGTGAGATTGATGCCGTGGGCAAATCAACCAAACTGGAAAAGTCGAAGGAGACYCTAATGTCAAATATGCAAAAAGAATAGATTGATAACCGAAAAAACCTGATGTCAGTACGCCAAGACTTCACTTCACGTTGTGGCTCAGTTTTAACTCGTGAAACACGTGCAGTTTCATGATTTGTGTTGCAATGACGACCCTAGTCATGTTCATGGAACTACATGGTAGCGTTTGTTTCGTGCGGGGTTCAGTACCCATGGATAATAAACCCGGCATTCTTGGCTTCCCTTCACGTTGACTCAGATCTACTGTACACGTGAAAACCATGMTTCAGTCACKATCTTAGGCTTTCTTGAGTACTAAGTTGTACTACATGTACACCTGGYARCTGACGATTCGATGATGATTCATTGCGGTTGAAATTGTCTTTCTTTCGGTATTTTTTGTATTTTTCATCAGGCTCTACCGGAAATGTCAAAAAGACCCTTACTGAACCTATAATCCTTTCAGTCACATTTCTTCGATAGACAGAAAAATGTGACATCATGCTTCGGTGCCAATGTTTCTGAAGCATAAAGATTAAAGTACAGTATAACTATAATAGTCCGATGCAGTTATGCAATCGTTAAAAAATTCAAACAATTGTTAATGGAAAAATCTGTTTGTGTAATTTAGTGTTTCTTGTACAGTCGGAAGGCCTCTCAAGCGCTGGTAGTAACGTAGAAAATGCCAAGAAGTCCAGATCGAAAGCCCGATTCACAGGAACTTAAAAAACAGGTTTGAACCGGTATAGAAATGCTAGACCGAACCTTGTAAGTTCAAAGTCCACCACGTGTACACATCATGATGTAGGGGACGTACGAACTTTTTTAACCAATCACAGCGTGGCTATAATTACCTATCTCGTTTTTGATTGGTTTGTGCATGAGCTTTGACGTCAAGTACAGCGATCAAATTCTAGTGAATTTAAGAAKATCGGTCAGTCATCAAGATGGCCGACTTCAAGCACGCTTATGCCCAGTCCGTAAGTCAAGAAATTCAAGATTCAAGAGAAGAAAAGCCGGTAAGAAAATAAACTAACTTCTTTTTTAAATTTCTGTAGAACAGGTGTTATAGTTTAAAACATTAATTAATGACCATTTCTTGACTTTTTACGTTTTGATCAGAACAAGAAAGACATGGTCGTTGAAGTAACTGAACCGGGATATGAAGACGAAGTGAGCGAAGAATTTGACCCGTGGGCCTTGCCAAATCTCAAACCTACTGGCCCAAAGTGGTCAGGTGAGTAATTTGAATTATGATTTTTTTGTTGTAGTGAAAGTAATTTGCTGTTTTTTGATATTTCTTTTCAAGTAAACAGCTATTGTGTTAATACCGCCAAAACGCCGGTTTTGCGCGCCATTTTCAACTTATATTCGACTCTTCGTTCGCACGTGTATTTTTTTTTAAATTGTATTTTTCTTACAGAATTGGATTCTGCTGGCAAATTCAAGAGAGCTGCTTGGCTGGTTACAAGACTAGTTCTATTTTTGGGTCTCCTGTACATGTTCATATGTTCTCTGAGTTTCCTGAGCAGTGCTTTTAGACTCCTTGGCGGAAAAGCAGCAGGCGAAGCTTTCAGTTCAAACGCCATTCTTTCGAATCCTATCGCTGGTTTGATGATTGGAATACTCGCCACTGTCTTGGTTCAGAGTTCGTCTACAACAACGTCCATCGTTGTAGCTATGGTTGCTGCCGACAGTACGTACTTTTCTTTTTTTATATATTTAGTAAGCTTATATTACAATGTTAAATGAGTACTTTTTCAATGAAGCAACACTGCAAGTCGAAAAGAATTTGATTATTTCGATTTCAGGGTGAAAATTCCCCTAGTAAGGGTTGGGGGGAGGTGCTTGTTCTTTTAATTGAAAATAGACATTTCCATTTTCAGTTATAAATGTTGAGCCTGCCATTCCAATAATCATGGGTGCCAACATCGGAACATCTGTTACCAACACCATAGTGTCCCTGGCCCAAGCAGCAGAGAGAAATGAGTTTAGAAGAGCTTTTGCTGGTGCTGTTGTCCATGATATCTTCAACTGGTTGTCAGTTGTGGTCTTCCTTCCCCTCGAAGCAGTATCCCATTACCTGTTCCATTTGACAAAAGTTATAATTGATGCAATGGATCTTCGTAATACCAAAACCCAGAAAAAGGAGTTTCTTAAAGTGATAACAAAACCATTCACCAATGTGATCATACAGTTGGACAAGAAAGTCATCCAAAATATTGCACTGAACAAAGATGTTCCTGCCACCCAATCCTTACTCAAAAAGTGCTCAGAGGAAAAGACAGTTGTAGCAAATTTTACCAAACTAGTTAATACATCCGCTGGAGTATTGAAAAACCAGACGAGTGAAGCCAGTGTTATTAGCAAAGTTCCTGTGAAATGTGAATATCTGTTTGAAGATACTGGAATGAGTGATACCACCATAGGAATAATTCTTTTGGTCATCTCTCTGTTCATTCTATGTGTCTGCCTGGTTCTAATAGTCAAAATCCTCCATTCTCTTCTCAGAGGACAGATTGCTGTTGTAATCAAAAGAACTGTTAATTCAGACTTCCCAAAGCCATTCCACCACMTGACRGGGTACTTTGCCATTATTGTTGGTGCTGGCATGACAATTCTTGTACAGTCCAGTTCCATTTTCACTTCAGCTCTAACACCTTTRATTGGAGTTGGTGTTGTGTCCATTGAGAGAGCATTTCCCCTCACCCTTGGTGCCAATATTGGAACTACTGGTACTGGAATCCTAGCAGCAATGGCCAGCGACTCAAAGACCCTACATAAATCCTTGCAGATAGCCCTGTGTCATCTCTTCTTCAACATCTCTGGTATTCTACTTTGGTATCCCATCCCCTACATGCGCCGAATTCCAATCAACTTTGCCAAGTACCTTGGAAATACCACAGCCCAGTACAGATGGTTTGCTGTTGCATATCTTATCTTTGGATTCTTTCTCCTTCCTGCTTCCATCTTTGGCCTTTCATTGGCTGGCTGGCAAGTTCTGGTTGGAGTATTAACCCCAATTCTTCTCTTTCTGGTGTTCATTCTCACTGTTAATCTGCTTCAACGTAAAAAGCCCAGTGTATTACCAGAGAAACTTAAAACCTGGGAATGGGCACCAAAATGGACTCGTTCTCTTGCACCACATGACAAAGTGCTAACTAAAGTATATGAAATTGGTAAAGACACTTGCAGTAAAACCACAACCAGAACTATTGAGCACAGCGAAAATCCAGCTAGAAAAAGTGAAACGATGGTATAGTGGGCTCTTGGTATCCAAAATTTGGCAGCTGCAATCTATTTTCATATAAAAGTAGCCATGAGTATCTCTAGTCCCATTAATTTAGTTTCAGTTAGAATATTTATTTGCGTTAACATGTGTTGCTTCCTTTTATAGGATGGAGTGATGTGATGTTTGTGGAGATATCATAGATACAATATTGTCTAAACAAAATCCCTCTATGATATCTACTCCAAACATCACATTATTTGTTGGTAATGTATTTATACTAAAAATATGAATTTGAAAAAAAATGAAATAAAAGGTCAAAACTTGAAGCCAAATTGGCTTTAAAATAGTTAAAAGAAGGTGAGTGCTTATTTTATACTTAGTTTTATTGTGTAAAAAGTGATTAATAAGAAATAAACTTAAAAAAAGGTAAAGAACAACAGCACATGGTCACTGAATAATAATACATTGCACTGTGAATAATACTATTATTAGATGCTATTGTTATTTGATTTGGTAATAAATATTGCTTATATTTTGGGAACTCCTGTGGGATGGTCATGAATTGGTACTTGTGAAGCATTTTGATTCCCTATTTTGTACAAGATACAGGGCAAGGGCTGGGGTTTGGATTGATGTGCTGTTCAAGGTTTCATTATTGAATGTATCTTAGTATTGGGGGATARGATATGGGGGGTGGGGTGGTGTTGAAGGCTTCTTCCCTTTTTGATTCATGAATTGCATGTATTTKCCATTAGTAATCATTTGAATGTTCTTTGTTGTAGGTTAATTCAAGGTCTTTCTCCATTTCTCCATAGTTTGAACGTGAGATCATTTTTATCAGTTATTTCGAGTTTCTCAAATAAGATTGGAATTCTTAAGTTAATGTTCGTATAGTCAATATCCTTGCAATAGCTATTCAGTTGTTAAAATGTCTTTTTTTTTATTGGACAAAATTTTAGTTGACGGAGGCATTTTTGGTTATAAGTAATCCATGGAAATTTGAAAGACTTTAGATATGGTGTTTCCTGCAATTTTGAAGTTTCATACAATATTGGTTTGATGTGTTATACTCTGTTCGTTGTTCTCAACTTTTGATGCTGAAGAATTATGTTTTCAAATTAAATGGAGGTATTTTTAATTCTAATTTYGAAAATAAAGGGAACAGTTTTAGTTTAATAGTTTTTAAAGAACAAGATGTGCCTCGCTCTAATTTTGTAAGTTCGTGTAATAATAACGTTCCTTTTGTATAGTGGAATGTTTAGGCTTTTTTTCAAAGCCATTTTTTTACACTGGATGTTTCATAACAAAATCGAGACAAATTTAGCCTTTGTACATGATTTGACACAAAAARTATTTGAGCTGTATCTTTTCAAATTTTCAATGGATTACTCAAACTGCGAACCACTACATGTGAAACATTTTGGACACTATTATGGTGGCAGCAAAATATTAATATTGTCAAAATCTGCTTGATTTCAAATTYGGGTTAAGTAATAGTGCAGTAGATATATTGTGTACAGAATCAACTAAAATTTTCACATGAATCTGTACCACCTGCAGAAAAAAAAGTTTGTTTTCAAATTGGATTTTCTCATTCGAGTCTATATTGTGAGCAGTTGTGCAATATCAGATCATCAAAATAGTATTTTCTAAGTCAGTTTATAATTTTAGATTTAATATTTTGCCATCATTGTTACGAGCAATTTAGTTWGCTATATTCATGTCTTTCAAATTTGTTTTCAGCCTTAAATTTGGTTAAAATCCTAAATTAGGACATAGCAAGAGGCTGAATTCTTAATGTGATAAAATGTGATTTTGATAGTCAAATGAAAGAAACTAGCTGGTATTGAATGTTCAAATTTTAAACAAACCATTTTGCTTTCTGTTACACTTGTATATGTTAAGGCTGAATTAGATGGCAAAACTTTTCCCTACAACCATCCTGCGCAACCTGCATTRGTCCTCCTTATTAACATGGCTAGAACTGTCCTAGGGATTTAAAACAATTGCTTAATAGCCCCACGACTGTTGTAGCCATGTTGTAAGGATCACTTATGCAAGTTGCATGCAATGGTTGTAAGCAAAAGTTGTGCCGTCTAAATCGGCCTTTATGCAGGCATGTGATGGTTGTAGGAAAATGGACGAGAAAGTTATAGTGCCTTGTAAGGTCCTTGCACCATTTTCATCAAATRCACTGAAGCATATTACATATAATAATTAAGCTTTTAACAGTGAATAACTTTAACTTTGAAATTTAATCAGGTAGCCTCTGTACTATTTTGTGAAATTAAGTAATGTGCTCACAATGAGAATTCAAAGAATATTCCACTTTAGTTAGAGATTTAGTACAAATTTGTGCTATTTTTTWAAAAAATTCACTGTTTAAATGTGTTCACTCTGTGTCCAACCCTTCCCAATTATAATTTTATTAGAATTGTTTAACTTTAGATCTTTATTTGTATTCTGTATGTTCAATTCATTTTGATCCTGCTACTCGTGTAATGAGTTCTTACCATTTGTCTCCTTGTGTTTCAGGTGGGCAGACAACTCATGCATATTTATGAGACTCCCACATTYTGTGGTTTCGAGTCTTGATTGGTAGGTTGTTGTTTTAATGTATTTACATGTGAATGAATTTCAATAAACGTATTTCAATTCAATAMTGTTGTCATTGCTTTTGTGTTTAGGGGATTACTGACGCGGTTCCTAAGGGGGGAGGTGTTAGTTTAATCCGGCTGAATCTTGGCATCTTTCATCCCATGTTCTCTCGATTACCCCAACCTCTACGATGATCTGAAATTATAAAAGTCATAAATTATTAAGCGCAACTTAATATATTCTATAATTGAGACTAACGATGATAAATACACATTTCATGACATTTAGCATTTTATACAAGAAAGCAATTACGTAGATGTGGATTAGAATGGTACGGRTCACTGCACGAACAACGCGGAAGAGTCAAAACCTTTCGTAATGATGTGAATACGTTTGGTAAAGATGTGGAAAGTCTATATATTTATTTATTTTTTGATATATAATGCCTTGCTCTGATTTGCTAACGACCGTGTTTATATCGCAGAGGGCAGSGACACGGCTTACCGGCAAAATTTGTTTTTCGCTCGAAAAACGCAGAAAAATTTTATTAAAGAACTATAAAACGGCCGCTTGTGTCTGTCCTCGCTACGCTCGTGTTTCTAAGCTTCTCTCGTGTTTTTCTCACCGTGTTTATATCAGAGGACAAAGACGCGCGCCGCTTTATAATATTTCTTAAATATAAGGGTACTTTGCGAGTAATTTGCACTCTTACAAGCGACAAAAAATGTTATTCGAAAAGCGCCCTAATCATTCTACTGCTGCAGTGACCACAGCATAGTTTTTATTGTAACCAGAGCGAAACGAGATCAAATAATAATGTATTCAGGTTTAACCCTTGCCGGTACTGAAATGAGGTAGCTTGGACACAGATGGATTTTTAATGTAGTCATTYAAGTGATTTAATCTTACCATCTTTCCAATCGTCCATCGCCCGCGCTTTGTAGAGTTCTTCTGAATTCTCGTCTTTGTCGTCGTCGTTTTCTTCAAGCTCTTCGTTAGACTTTTGTGCGGCTGCCCTGAAAAACGTGGGAAGGCGACGAGGCAACAGGTGAATAATTGAATGATAAGACGGGTAGTGAGCGAATATGAATAGACCGCTATTTGTAAAAGACTAGCTGATGTATCTTGTCCAGACCATCGTAAAAAAACCGTGTTATTACCACAGATCAGACATCGTGTGGTTACGCAATGACACAGCACGAACAATACATGTATGATACCATACAGTAACGTTTTAATACCAAGACATTATGGACAGCTCTGAATCGAGAATTGATCACGACTACAATGTGGCACGGTGAAGACACAAAAGTACCACAGTTTTTGACCGCTCTTACAAATTAAATCGGTTACTAAAATGTTTCCTTGTGGTGACGTTAAAATCAGGTCTGCTCATCTTCGCAAATGAACGCGGGCACGCTTGTAAATGCCCATTGGCAAACAATGATGCTCTCTACATGCTAAAAAAGTCGTCCACGGAGTGTTTGCTTGCTTGCTTCCAATGAAATTTTTCATAAACCAATAGTAATTACGACCAGAACTCTGCCTGATGGCGCAGGGTTATCGTGTGCGTTTTAGGCCGAGAACTAAACCGCTTGTCATTGTACAGTGTATGTCTGCACACCGATATTTAAATTGATATATTAAAAATGCAGTAGAAGCCGACAATATTTCCATTTACTTGCTTTAGAAATTGAACTTGTAATTGTCGTTTTTCAGAGCAGGAAAATCCACCTATCTACTTCTTTTTCGTCGACATACATCAGTACGTTCTGTTTTGATTCATTTGTGTGTGTGTGCATAATATACTCACGTTTCGTAATCCAAGACAACCTTTCCTTCTCTTATTTCTTTTTCAAGAAATTCTTCCTGAGACATGGTCGGTATACTTGGATATCCAGCTCCAAAAACCTTCGCCTGAAAGACGAAACAAAATACATTGCTACTTAAAAGAGGCGTTCACTCCTCCCCTCACCGTACAGTTGTATACATGCTTAGAATTTGCTAGAAGAGTGAGCGTTAAGAAAAGAATCTGTATTGTATTGAAGAAGAGCTTTTCTTTTTTAGTGATTTCACCGACAATACTTGATTAATTTCGATTTTTTGCATCACAGAGTTCTGAGCACATTGTGATTAATTTTTCTTGATTTTTTTGACATATTGTTCGAGGTCAGTGGATCTTTAGTGTTCGAATGATATTTCTTGAGATATCGTGATCGATGCCTGCTTTCAAGACTATTTTCAAAGTACTTATTCCTGTTCTTATTATAGATTAAGCAAAAACAAAGATTCCGTTTCTTTCTTTGCGCTTTGGAACTAGAAATCTGTGCTTTTTTATGGACATCAAACTCAAGACAAGAATCAAAGATTCAAATCAAAAGATTGCAAATAAATCTAAATAATTCAAACTTATTTTGAAAAAAATATATCTAGAAAACTATCAAATTTATTATTATACGCAATTATCGTAAATTATCCCGACAACTCGTACCATTTTCTGATCGTCATCAGCAGTTGTTAAAACATGGGCCGCCCACACTTCGAATGTACAAATTAAGTGGGCTGAAAATGCGCATAAAATGTTGCTTCTCTCAAAGCACAAACGAAATATGCTTTATTAAGTTATGTTGGCAAGCAATGGGAGGAGGAGGGAGGAGGGGGGGATTTACTTCAAACTATCTTCATTTTCCATCCGATTTGACATAAGTAAAATGATACGTAAATACAATACGTAAAGATGGATTGTTATAACGTTCAACAACTTCAATTTTTTTTCACAATTCGCGCGGTAAATATATGCTATCCCGCCACCGCCATCGCCCCCATCCAACCCCCTTCCAGTGTTTAGAAAGGGCTTGAAAGTTGACAATGGACGGGTTTAAAAATGTAGTCATCATACAAATGAAGTGCATCATTTCTATTATTATTATTTTTGAAAACTAGACCTATACACTAAAACTTATTATAGGAAGAATAAAACCGTTCCTCCTAATTTTTGCATCGATTGTAGCGACAGATCAGCCACTACACGTTCTGGAACATTGCATTGCCAAGACGCAAGGAGAGATCGCAAAAAACGAGCGTAACAAAAAACACAACACAAGCGCTGTATTTCAGATAAAACAACATGGCGGACCTCCCTCGAGAAAGAGAKAGTGAGTGATTTCCCGCTTTACGCAGTCATCGCGCAACTAAGAGCAAATCCAGACATTTTGCATACATGCATTAAATTCAATTACTACATTTTGATCACTACATTCTTTCGCATACTTCAAATCAAGAATACTCTTAAAAATCTAGTCAATGGCCGTACGCAATCAGTCAGAGCCTCGCACAACTGACTTCTTGACGCTAAATGCATCAAATTTTCTTGATTTTTAGCTCACACTTCGACATATTTGAAATCTATTTGAAGTATTTATTCCAAATATTTAGATTATAACTTATGACTAATTCGCCTTTTTTAATTAGTTAATGTATGTGACTGTACACGATTTTCTGTGATTTACTTCCGTCGCTTCTGATTCTTAACGTACTAGTGAAGAATCGCTCCCAATGAAAGCTGAACCATCAATTCAAATCAACTAATCAGTCTAGACTATACTTACCTTAATACTTTCTTTTGTAAGTAAAATCGGCTTCATTGGCTGAAAAAGAAAATTGTGGTTTAGAAAACGACGTTTTCATGGGCAGCTCATTACAACTGCATTATTTCTGTCCTCAAGTACTGTGCAAATTTTGGACACCATCCATCATAGTAGTACTTTTAAATATAGTCATTGGACTTTGAACAGTACAGTTGGCAAGGGCAACAGGAAGGAAACTGTTGAACTTGGAACAAAAACAAAACTTTAATTTTTTTTTCTTTCGCTCTAAAACTGCCTCGAACGCTATCAACTCATACAGCATCCAACATCCATGCTTAGGACTTGAAATATCATCATCTTCCAGTAACAACATTGGCATTTACAACAAAATTGTCTATTTATCAAAAGACACTTAAGATGTCTACTTTCATGCAAAACGCATTTTGAGCCATTTTTGTGGTTACTCCGTCTATAAGACGGGTAACCACTTTGTTATCGGTTTGTAAGTCCGTAAGTAACACTATCACGTGATTTTAAGGTCTAAATACAACCCAAACAACTGCACCCCCTGCAATTGCAAACTGTCCCCCCCTGCAATTCACCATTCCTGCCCTATTAAAATTTTAGTAGCAACAAAGACAGCACATCAAATATCAATTGTCTTGAAAAACCACAGTATATATACAAGGATTCTTGAACTTGTTCTTTGATGTGGGTTTTCGAATCTGAAYAGTATCCAATCKTWTGATCTCGTGTGAATGAATATGCGCAGTTAGCATCGTTATCACACATGTCTCCACCATGACGTAGCATTGGCATGGCAACTAGCCAACGACGCTGACAAAGATAAACGCTGGCTCAGGAGACAAGATTTTCCACGTGCTCAACTTYGTCGCTGGTAAGTGAAGTAAACTTTGTTTTTTATATTTTTTATCTTTCTTTATCTATCACAGATTTCATBCTACAGCATTAACTATAATGATCAACGTTTTTTAAGTGTTTTTCACAATTTAGTCCGATCTTTATGTCCGAATAACAGGATAATTCCACGCTCGATAGCGATTGTAATGACGAATGTCAATTCGATCAAATTGACAATCATAAAGCAAACCAAAAGACGCTAGAAAAAATGACTTATAACTGCCAAAAATAAATACAAACTGGATAAACCCGTTTGTGGGTTAAATCAACCTCTTGAGGATATATCAACCAAAACAGGGAGTCTAATTACAAGAACTATTTACATTAAGTTGAATATTCATTATGAAGTTTTAAGTTTAAAAGGCCTTTTAACTTAAATGATACAACAGCTGACTAAGACATCTCCATTTGCAAATAAGAACAAGTATTCACTTAATAGTATTTGTTGGTTCAGAATAAAATAATATCATAAAGAGTAAGTAAACTAATTTCAACTATCAAAAACCTTTCACAATTAAATGTAAACTGCAGTACATTATTGATGCAAGTTATTCCACTCTGATCATAGTAACTATGCTCTGATGGACATAGCATAAACACTCTACCCTAATGATTCATATTTCTGATCACTAAATTACATCAATGTAATTAACTTTGTGTAAATTAGTAAATGTTTCCTTAACTTCTTTTCTCAGGTATATTTATTAATACTGCCAAGAATAGCTCTGAAGTTGAGGGAAATGATCCCTTTGAACAGCTATCAGGAACACACCAAGCACATACAACTATTACATGAGAGATTTTTACAATAGAAAAAAAGGCTCATTCCTATTGTGCAAAAACCAGTTGTACTGTCAAGTGTTAGTCCATGATACTATTGATGCATCCCAGATGTCATTGTCACTTTATTCATTATTCACTTAATTCTTTATGAGTCCTTAATAGAATTATTGAAGACAACTGAGTTTTTGTCAGAAAAATTATTGGACCTTGAACCAAACATCATTAAAAATATGTTTATAGATTTACAATAAAATGTAAAATTTAATACCAACACCAAAATTTTAACACTGTAACATGCATTACATCAAAATAAGCCTATTTTTGAATAGTGCTTTATCATTTCTGTACGCAAAATTGGAAAAAAATAGAACATTTCCGCCACCTTTTCCATTTCCACCTATTTCCAAAAATAAAACATTTCCAAACTTATACTAAATTTGCTCTTTCTCTAAGGTTTTTCCAATTAGGTGAATGTCTGCCCTGACAGCAACACATTACAAGCAATTCCCAAAATATCAGACCTTCAACTTAAATTACTTAAATATTCTTTCCCGTACACATAGTAAAACATTAAAATCTAAAAATATTCATAACAAGCAGTTTTTGGAGTAACCACAAGCGCTTTTTAAGCGCCTTTTTTTTAACTTAGGTTCTATTGTAATTATGCAGGAGCCTGCATGCATGGAGAAGTAYATTGTCTGCAGTAAGCAGTCACCAAAACAATTTGCAACGCAAGTGAATTTGATTTAACCTATTATCTTTGATTTATGATTTCTTTTTACAGAGTAAAACCAAATTTACCAGGAGCTCAGGCAAGAAACAGAGTTTTGGGTTAAAATAATCATCAATAAAGACGGACTCGATATGAGTTAATTGGTTGTCAATGATGAATGTCAATCTATATAGGGTATCTTTACTTCAATGGTTATATTACGAAACTTGTATTAACCCATGTCGAATGGTGCACCAATGGACAGGGGTTACTACACCTTTCATAATCTGCAGCTACGACTCTGATCAATACCTTATAATCCCGGCCGGCCGTTGCTTCACAACGAACACTGAACGCAAAATATGACAACTTAGAACACACACATTTCTCACTGATCATTTGGACTTTGCAGTTTTCGACTTTGGTGGACAATTCATAATTTTGCTACCACATCCTTCGTTCTTGTCGGTGCAAATGAAATGAACTCGTGTCTGGGGTAGTGGTGTGGTTTCGGTGTAAGCAAATCTTGTAGCACGTTTTAATCACTAAAAAGGTTACTTTAAAATATCTAATTGATGTCTTGATCACTAACAAATTAAGAGTATTCACAATGTTAAAAAATAAGAGAAAAAATATAAATAAATAATACAATAATATTGAATAATAGTCATTTTTCCCATTGGCCGACATTGTGCTGAAGTACTTGTCTCAGTGAGATAGCGAATCAACTGTTATATTATAGCCAACAAAATCAGACGACACAACACAACTAGAGAGACGCGATGCTCCAGTTGTTTAAAATGCATCTGACTTAGCTTCAGCATCTACAGGCCTGAATGGTTTGATTTCCACACAGGATGATCAAGTTGTGTTCTTTGGCAAGACACTTTACTCTCTCAGTGCCTCGTCTTCTCGCGATCCCGTCTCTTCTCATTAGCACCGCCCCGCACCACTATTTGGGCACGTAGTTCCYGGCGGTGTAGACTGCAGGGCCGGGTTGTTCAAAGCCTGATTAGCGTTAATCCAGGGTTAACTCCATAGGTTTTCTAACAGTTAACCCAGGATTAGCGCTAATCGGGCTTTAACAACCGACCCAGGGCCTTGTTAGGGCATGATGACTCCTCGATCAGGGCCAGAGGGGTTGCTRTTATTTTCATGACAGAACCGAACGTAAGCGCCCACGGCTAACTCGGCAGTACAGCCAACTGTGTCTTGAGGTTTTTAAAGAAAATTTSCACACGGAGTGTCTTTGCAGATTTGCCAAATAACCAGAGATTTAGCCTCAGGTCCAACGAGGTCCTACATGTAATAGACATGGTGGGATTCTTCATGAAGTACGRCCGGATTAATCCATGCCAGTGATATTAAATAAAAAAAACAACATTCGGGGATTTTTTATTTGCACCGTGTACATTGATACATTGATACAGAAATAGGCATATTGGTTTATATTGGCATAAAAACGAATATCAGATTATTAGTGTTTTAGTAACTATAAACATTCTTAATAAAGAATTTGTTTTGTTTTTAAAATATACGATATAAATCCAAGTAAAGTGTTTATAAAATGAAAATAAAAAAAACTATATCAATATCCATTAAGGAAACCATTTGCACYGACCAATAGCGATTAGGCCTCTCGAGCTTGTTTCAGTCCCGTTGCCTCACGACTATTACTGGACGGTGAAAAATGCCGTCTTTTCATTACATCATATAGAATATTCCTCACTAATAACGTCAACTAGGTACCAGCGAAGTTGACGTTGTCTTGACACCAAATTTACGATAGCTCAAGAACAATCAGATCACATCATAGTCACCATCRGATCATCAGAAGTAACCACCCTCCCCTCCCCCCTCCCTTTTCTACGCTATGTCAGTTTTAGGACTGCTTATCATAAACACTCAATTTCTTATTCTATATTTTAATTTCTTAAGGTAATCCTAACGAAATTTAATTTATATAAAGATACACAATGAAATAACTACGACTTTAATACTACAACTGACGCAGATGTACACACAAACGCAGATGTTAACCCAAGCAAAATGTTTACAGTGAAACGCAAAATCATTGAAGCGCACACTTGCAACGCATACAGAACAGCCATAAAGAATGATCGAAATTAAATTATTTTCTTTCTTGTTATATTATTTGGGATTACATGATTTCATGTTTGCTCAGTTGTTGCTATCAGTGAAGAAACAAAACTGRAAWTAAACTSGTTCATCAAACARCGAAAWCCCTTTATTCTCGAACTAGAAGTTTTGAAATTCGTTTGMCGGATTAAGAGGTTTTYCTGCGACTAAGTAATAATTAAGATATAWTTTATCTAAATTCCTTCTACTGCGGATCTTTTTTTATTCAAATGAATGAATTGATCGGTTGAAATTTCACCTCAAGTCGTCAAAACCTGACCCAAAATCCTAACGAACGTCAAAACGTCGAGGTAGGGGACCAACTGAGGCCTTATCCATCACCCGACCTTGCTTTACTGCCAATACCATCGCCAATAACATTGGGAATCACAAAAAAATATCGCCAAAATTATTCATCAAGGTTACACCTAAAATGTCCATTCGATAAAAAAACTCATTCTGAGCCTTATACTATATTGGGATAATAAGCCTCGAAAGAACTCTTTGTACTATTAAGCACAATTTTGTTAGAATAATTAAAAAAAAACATTTTTTTTAAAAACTTTTCGTTGCCATGTAAAGAGGCTTTTTTACCAGCTGTTATCATTTATTCTTACACAGTATTTACCAGAATTTGTCAATATTAAAACGAGAAACGAGCGTTTTGGGTTAAAATAATCATCAATAAAGACGGACTCGATATGAGTTAATTGGTTGTCAATGATGAATGTCAATCT